TGGCACAAAAGCAGAAAACGCTTCACTCAGTAAGCGACACGTAGGGCTGACGCTTCGGCAAACAAGCAGCGACACAAATACACACTCGGTGACTTACGTGGATACACACGAGGGTGGACACACATTTATGTGTGCAGGGCACCAACATAAACACACAATCCGATGTACGCACACTGACTGCAAACACCCAGCAAGACCACGCACACCCAGGCTGTGGCTGGCATACACAGACACCTCCTGGCATGTTAAGATGCAGACACCAAGAACGATCACACGTGGAGGTGGAACCGGACAAACAGACACACACCAGAACCTGAAGAAGTTAACACGGGCTTGTTCACACACAGACGCAGCCAGGCCTTCAAAACACAGCTGGACATATTCAAGTTGCTTAAGACAGTTACGGAGACACAGACTGGTACAAAAACACACACTTGCGTAGACAGGCAGGGCTGCGGCAGACACCAAGAGAGGACACGTGCACACAGGGTGCACAGGCGGACACTACACACTGGCTGCTAAGCACCCGATTCTCAGCCACTAAGAGGGCACTGGGGTCAGGCTGGTACACAGGGGCAGGAGGGTGTTGCTACTGCCTGTTGTGAGTCACACACACACGCTGATACAGGGGGTCCCTGTGACAGAGTCACGCACCCACAGGCTCACCCCGTGACATGTACACGGATACCATACACATCGGTGGACCCAGACCTGTGTACACACAGACAGCCACCGTCAGTGGAAACACACTGGAAACACACCGAGTTGTCTGTTGTCCATTGACACAGCCTAACTCCACAAGGAGATGGAGACCTGCACCAGCACCCCCCCCCCAGGTGGACACCTGTCAGCTGACATTGTCACTTCTGTATCGGGGGGATAGGAAATAGCCACAAAGCTCTGCCATCCCTCACTCCGCCATGATCTTGCCCACCACACACACTTACACACTTCACCTTCACACAGTGCATCACAGCTGTGAGCACACAAACCCGAAGGACAGACACAGGCTGGCGCCGGTACACTTAGTCACACGCACGCACGCACACACGCACAGACAGCCCCCGGGAAACTTGCCGAGACAAACTATAAAGGCCCAAACACACAGTGGGACAGATTCTCAAGCTGACCGAGACGTACCTAGTGAGACATGCACGCACTGAGGCAGCCGTCGGTGCGAGAAGCTGGCCCTCGCTAAGACACGCCCCATACAGAGCGGTTGATGTTGACAGACACTGAGACACAGATCCGGAGGGACTGGGACACACACCCAAACCCCCCCGCCAACACACACACACCGATACACACACACAGGTCTGCCCTCACAGCTGCACCGTGAACGGATAAATGCACAGACCCCGTGGTCCCCCAATTTCTCCTTCTTCCTGGGATGGGGTGGGAGAAGCAGTCTCTTCTCCCTCTCCGGGGTCCTGCCAGGCTGACTCAGGCCTCACAGCCACGGGCCTGAGTCAGCCCTCTGGGGCTGGCATGCTCACCACCCCTTCCTTGCACACTCAGGGCCCCCGGAATGCTGGGAATGTGGGCACCTCCCTCCACCCTGGGAGACCCTCAGCAGGAGTCCCTCCCCCACCGCAGCAGATGGAGAGGCAGGTTGGGTGCTGGAAGCTGACACCCTACAGGGTCCAGCCACCTCCCTTTGACTGACTGAGCCCCTCTTCTGTGTTCCTCTCTCTCCCAGCAAGGGGGGACCCCCTCTATCCGTGGTCTCCCAACACTGCCGCTGGCCCCTAGGTCTTGGGTCACATCCGTGGTCAGTCCCTGCCTGTTCTCTGGTTTTCTTTCTCTCTCTGTAACGGTCGTTCACTGTCTCCCCCTTTCTCCTTATTTCTTTGCTTCAGGTTCTGTCCCCGTCAGTGGGGCCCTTCAGTGACAGAGGTGGGCAGGATGGGGGAAGTGAGGGAAAGGAAGGTACGGTTGATTCCGCTGTGTCGCTTGGGGTCAAGGACCGGCAAAGGGCTATCAGGCCCACATACACTTGGCTTGCGGAATAGCTCGGAGGAAACCCGGGACAATGAATGCTATTCAGAGACTGGCTGGGGTAGACGGAGGGGGAAAGAGCAGAGAGACAGGAGGGCACAGGGAGACCAAGAACGATGGAAAACAGACAGAAAGAGAGGAAGAAAGCATACAGGCAGGAGCGCGGAGATAGGGGCAAAGATACAGCAAAGACACAAGAATAGAGGACAGAGGGACGGACAGACACACCAGGGCACAAAGGGCGCCTTTGCTCTCCACTCCCATCCTGCTGGGGCCTCTGCACTGAGCTGGCCGCCTCCGTGGACTCACCTGGAACACGAAGTACGTGCTGGGGGGCGTGGCCCGTGGCCGGAGCCAGGGGTACAGCATCCTGGAGCCAGAGTAGGTCCACGGGCTCTGGGGGACCCTGTGCTCGGCAGCTCAGGTCGAAGGGGGTATTGGCGGCAACAGTCCTGTCCTCAGGCTCCTCCAGGAAGTAGGGCAAGCCTGGGTGCAAGGCAGAGGCTGGGGTCCCTCTGAGCACGCCGGGTATCTGACTCACTGCCTGGCTGTGGGAGGCTGCAGGGTCTTTAACCCTCAGGTCTGTCCCCTGGGGCCTCCACCCCCAGGACGCAGGATCCCGATATCTGTCTCCCCCAACCAGTGCCAGGCCCCCAGGACATCTAAGCCCCTCATGTCTCTACTCCAGAACGTCCGACTTCTCGTCTCATTTTACCAATGAGGATGCAAGACCCCTGAAGATGGGGGAGAGGGTCAAGTCATGCTCCTGACTCCTTATCTGATCCCGGAATGTCCTACCCCAACCATGGCCGACCCCGTGATATCTGACAAACCCCCAAGATGTCTTCCTCCCCAGGACATATCACCCCCATAACTTATGGACCCCAGTTTCTCGATTCCCTAAGATCTCTGACACTTGTAGGGTGCGTGTCCCTGGGAGACGTCTGGATGTCCCAGCGCTCTCTGGCCCCTTGGGATTCCTGGCCTCCCCGTGACCTCGGAGTCCAGGGCTCACCCTCCAGCCCGATGTAGCCAGGCTGGGACACGAAGGTCCTTCCTCCCAGGACCACTGCACACTGGTACCATCCCACGTCTGAGAGCTGCAGGGATGAGATCCTGACAGGGACAGAGGAGGGACAGAGAGGTCCGGGATCAGAGGTGGACACTTGGGAGTGGGTAATCGGAACTGAAAGAGGGGAGTCTGGACTGGACACACGTAAAAGCCGAGAAGTAGGCCCTTATTAATTCCTTTTACAGAAGAGGAAAGTGAACCCCAGGGCTACGTCACATGCTGACAGTCACGCAGCCAGCGAGGGGCCAGGCTGGGCTTCCAACCCGGGTGCAGCTCCCGCAGGTGACCCTTTACCTACCACGTGGTGCAGGTGGTGGGGGACAGGGGTCGGGAGGAATGTAGGGCCATGGCTGGTTGGGGAGAGGCTGGTCACCTGAGTTGGCTGACCACTTTCCAGTCGTCCTGCTCATCTTCTCCCAGGGGCACCTGGATCTGGGTGTTGTCCGCCAGCTCCAGGGCCTGTCCATCCCGAAGCCAGGTCACCTCGGGGGGTTCCCCGTGAACCAGAAGCTCACACTGAAGGGTCCCCATGAGTTCCCGGGCACCGGTGATGTTCCTTGGGCCGCCCACAAAGGGGTCTGTCTGAGCCCGTGAACCTGCAGGGACACGGGGGAGAGAGAGCTGGGTCAGGAGACCCGACTGCCCCCCAACTCTTCAACTGCACCCCTGCTGGCCCGCCTATGGCTGCCAGGACCCTGCCAGGCCTTTAGGCCCACATAGTTAGAGAGTGACCTCAGCAGGGCTGGAGGGAGGAGGCTTTGAGGGGAGGATGGACGCCTTCCCAGGGGACTGGGGTCCGGCTTCCATCCTTCATCGTTGGGAAGGAGGCTCAGATCTGGCAGCCTCCCACGCCCTGGCCTGCCCGGCGGGGCCGGCCCTCGCCCCCCGCCTTCTCCTAGGGTCTCCAGAGACTTGACAGGTCAAGCTGGTGGACAGTGGGGCAGAAAGGAGGAGGAAGAGGAGGGAGAGAAGAAGAAAGAAGCCAGAGAAAAGCTGAGCGTGGGGAGTCAGAGACAGAGACGGGGAGAGAGAGACAAAGGGAGACCCACAGAGGTGGTAGAGCCGCCGCCTGAGACGGCGCCCGGGCCCCAGAGATGGAGCCGACAGACAGACGGACAGAGGGCAGGGACAAGTGCCTGTGTGTGTGACTGTGCTGAGGGTTTTTCCCCAGGGCTCCTGACCCTCCCCATCCTGCTGCCTGACTGAGGGCTCCCTTCTGGAACATTCCTCCCCCCGCAGCCCCCATCTCGGCCTCTCTGCCCAGGGACCCCACTCAAGTCCGGCCCCCACTCCGGCCCTCAGCTTCCCCGGGGTGGCTGTGTCTCCGTGGGCACGTCTCTCTCCACCTCCGACCCTCCTCGTTTCTGCTTCTTAGCCCTCCGTTCCGCTCTCAGAGCCCCTTTCTGTTCCCCATCCTCTCTGGGCTTATCCCTGTGTCTCCCTCTCCGTTGTCCCAAGAAAGTTCCCTGAGCCAACTCCGGACTCGCCCCAACACCTGCCACCCATCCCCCTTCCCGCTCCCACCTGCGCCAGCCCCTCCACGGGGGTCCTGCCCTGAAGGCCCCCATCACTCACCCTCGGGCGCCACGCACCCCCAGCAGCACAGCGCCAGCCACCAGGCCAGCGGGACCCTGCCCATCCTCGGGGCACCACGCGATCTCTGCCAAACTTTCCTCAGAAGTTGCTGGGCACACGGCGGGGGAGGGGGCAGGGCCGGGCGGTCCCGGCCCTCCCCCCAGCTCCAGGCTCCCCGGCTTTGGCACCGTCTGCCTGACACGGGGAGGGCTCCTTGCCGGCCCCACTCGGTGGCCGCCTTCCCTGCTCCGGGGCCTCCTCCTCTCCCTCCCGGACCTCGGCGGCTCTTTCCCCGCCCCTGGCGCCCCCTGCCTCCACCCTCCGGGCTGGGAGCCGAGGGGGGCCACCGGGACTTTGAGGAGTTAACTCGGGGAGGAGAGGACCGGCCCTGTCTTAAAGGGACCCTGGAGGGAGGCTGAGGAGGGCAGGGGCCCTGGTGGCTTCGCCTTTAAGCCTGGGCCAGCGAGGCGGGGAGGCTGCGGGTCTCTCTCCCAGACTCTGGGAACTGTCGCCCTGGGCTCACTTGGTGTCGGGTAAACATTCCTCCCGAACTCCACTCCCTTCGCAGCCTGTGCGATGCCGCCCTCCCGGCCTCCACCCCCAGCCCAGCCCCAGCTAGGCACTCCTCTCACACTCACAGCTCCTCCTCCTCGGAAAAGGACACACACACACACACACACACACACACTGAGATGTCATCCACACGCAGGGACTGGGACAGGAGGAGACACGCAGGGGCATGTTGCCAGCCCACGGGACACACTCAGAAGACAAGCCAGGTCAGGAACTTCATTCCTGCAGAAACCTCAGGAGCCAGAACCGGGAGGGCACCTGCTGGGTGCACATCCCCTACGCTCCTCCAGGCCCAGGAACAGGACCCCAGTGTATCCTGTGGGGGCCCCCCAGGGGGTGGGTGCCTGAAGACCTGGGTGGGACTCCCAACGCTAGCCGCGAACTGGTAGTTTTAGAAGTGACTGGTCTCTGGGCCTCAGTTTGTCCGTCTGTAAGATGGGAATAAGAATGGAACCCACTTAGCAAGCCGGAGGGAAGACACCCTGGTCAGTGGACACGCAGTTCTTCGCATGCGGTGACGACAGCTGACCAGGTGTCCTCGGTTGTTTGTGTGCCATCTGCTCGCCACTCTGGGCACTTGCACAACGGTCTCCCTCCGGCGGGCTGGGAATGCGGGTCCTCGCAGGCCTGGCGCCCGGGTGCTGGTTCTGCTGCGTGTCCATTCCCACACCCCTGTGTGTTCTGCACATGGGGGTCTCTATAAGCCTGCGTGTCTGTGTGGGGGAAGGGGAGCTGGACACCCATCTCTCTGCTTTTGATCGTTCTGTTTGTGTCTTGTTGTCCCTACAGCAAAGTCCTGTCCTTTTAGCCTCCTCATGTCCCTCCCACCTGCCCCTTCTCCTGTCCCGGAGTCCGGCCCCATCCTTTCCTGCTGGGCCCCGTCCCTGGCCTCCTCCCTGACCTCCACGCTTCTACTCTCGCTCCCTCCACTCTCATTCCATCCAGAGGGGTGTCTCTGAAATTCACATCTGACCTTGATCCTCCTCTGCTTAACCTTAGCTCTTTTTTAAAAAATTATTTATCTGTCTATCTATCATCTATCTATTGATCTATCCATCTATCTATCTATCATCTATCTATCATCTATCTATGTTATCTATCTAAAGAGAGAGGGGAAGGGAGGGAAAGACTGATGTGTAGGAGATACACTAACCAATCAGTTGCCTTTTGAACGTCCCCAACTGGGGACCTGGCCCAAAACCCTGACCAGGAACTGAACTGGTGACTCTTTGGTTTGCAGGTCGGTTCTCAGTCCACTGAGCCACACCAGCCAGGACGTGACCTTGGCTTTTTATCGCTCTCAGGGTGAGCTCCCAGCTCTCTAGCCTGGCACTCAGGGACTCTTCACTGGCAGCTCCCCTGAGCTGTCTCATTTGTGTCCCATTTCAGTGATGGCCTCAGCACCCACCCTGCCACCCAAACCTGGCCCTCAGGGTCTTCTGGGACCGCTCACCTGACAGTAGGTTACCTCGTCCCATGGGGGGCTCAGCTTCACAGACCTCTCTCCTCCCGGCTCTGACCGCCTCCTCACAACCTCACCCTGGTCCTGCCTGCTCTCGGCCCTGGCCACCTCCCCCGTCTCCCCGCCTCCACCCACCCTTCCTTTAACCTGCTCACAGCAAAATGAATGTTTCTCAATCCCAAATCACCCTTTCCCTCCTTTGCCCCAAACTTTCCAAGATAAAACCTCAGAAAGATAGCTTGCCTCACTTCCCCTCACGTCCACTGGACCCTCCCCTCCCAGTCCCGAGGCTTCTCTCCCTGGCTAGCAAGCCTGTAGATAAGCAGGGGACTGTGGCATATTCACCGCTGTGACTGTGTCACATCTGTCTCTTCTCCCTGGGCTCCGGGCTCTGGGAGGGCAGGGACAGGGTGTGTCTTGGTTACCATTGCCTTCCCACTGCCTTATAAAAGGCCTGCCGGAAGCAGCCAATTTACTATTGTGGCATTGGGGGTGCGTGCAAATATGTGTCAAGCTCTACCCCCTTGTTTGAGTGTGTTAGGGAGGCCGACATATCCAGGGCTCATGGACCTGGCTCGGAGCCTGGCCAGCGTGATCTGTGTTTGTTCACTCAAGAACAAAGGGCTAGCAGTCCTGCTGCCCTTTGCCCCCACCTGCTGCACATGCCTCAGCCTGGTCTGGACGTCCCCTCTCTGTTGCGTCGTGGCCTGGCCTTTCCGGGTCTCATCCAGGTCCCGTTATTTACTCCCAACACTCTCGTTGTCTTCAGCAGCACCAGAAGGACAGCGGTCCTCCCTTATCTTCGATTTCACTGTCTGTGTTTCCACAGCCCACGGCCACCCAAAAACATTAAATGAAAAATTCCAGAAATAAACAATTGATAAGTTTTAAATTGCACGCTGTTCTGAGTAGAGTGATGAAATCTTGCACGGTCACTGGGGCATGAATCATCCTTTGTCTGGCTATCCATGCCTGCAATTCCTCCCCACCCATCAGTCACTTAATAGCCTGGGGTATCAGCTCCATTATCAGGAAAAAGGAAGACAGAGAGGGAGAGATCGGAGAGAGATGGAGTAGTCACATAACTTTCATTGCAGTATATGTAATGATTGCTCTATCTCATTATTAATTGTTGTTCATCTCTCATGGTGCCTAACTTATAAATTCAACTTTATCATAGGCATGGATGAGGGGGGCACCCATAAAAAACCAGAATTATCTTCTGGAGGGTGGGCCCCTTGTAGTACAGGCTTCCCCTACTGGGTGAGCATTCTAGGAACCCATCTGTGCCAGCGCACCAGCTGGCGCTGTTGTGAGAGGCTGCGTTTGGCTTCGATGAATTTTTTTGAGGACTCTTTCAATTAATTGGGTGAATTATGAGCACACCTGCCCACATTGCACTGAGTGTTCAACAGTTTTGGACCCAAAAAATGGCATGACCCTTGTGCCTCACCCCTCCTTACTCACCTGGTCTCTCCCCAAGTGACTTTCTTTTTTGTTTCCCTGGATGAAAAAATTCCTCATAGGGAAATATTTTGCCGATGTGGAAGACGTGAAACAAAAATAGCAGGGCTGCCCAAAGGCTTCAAAGTCGACGAGTTCAAATGCTGTTTTGCGCAGTGGAAAAACCATCTTGATGCACTGCATCAAATGAAGAGCACTTTGAAGGTGACCTAAGTTTAAACATGTAAGAATAAACACATGATTTTTTATAAATACGTCCTGGGATTTTGGGGGGCCCCTTGTATGTAGAGGGAAAAGCACAGTATATGTAGGGTTCAGTGCTACTGACAGTTTCAGGCACCGACTGGGGGTCTTGGAACTTATCTGCTGTGGATGAGGGGGGACTGCGGTGTATTCACTGGTGTGACTATGCCACATCTGTCTCTTCTCCCTGGGCTCTGGGCTCTGGGCTCTGGGCTCTGGGCTCTGGGCTCTGGGAGGGCAGGACTGGGTCTGTCTTGTCATTGCCTTCCCACTGCCTTATAAAAGGCCTGCCGTAAGCAGCCAATTCACTATTGTGACATTGGGGGGTGGTGCAAATATGTGCAAAGGTCCACCCCCTTATTTGAGTGTGTAAGGGGGGGGGGGCTCATGGGCCTGGCCCTGAGCATGGCCAGAGTGGTCTGTGTTTGTTCGCTCAAGAACTATTTGCTGAGCACTCACGATGTGCTTGCAATTTACTTTCTACCGCATGTAAAAAAAATGTGATGGACAGGTAGGTGGAAATGTTACCTGCGGCAGGGGTTGGGGATTCCACGGTGAGCAAGACAAGCCTCTGCCCCCACGGGGCTCCTATCTCAAGGGGAAGAGAGACAACCACCAGATAAGCACTTACCAGGATGCAACACGGGCAGTGAATAAAGCAGGGACTAAAGCAGGGCAGGGGAGAGCAAAGGGTGGGAAGGCCGTGTTGTAGAGGGTGGTCAGGGAAGGCCTCCCAGAGGTGCTGATCAAGATCTGAGATAATTTAGCAAGTGAGTCACCTAAGGAAGGTCCTTCCGGGCAGAGGGAGCCGACGGGGCAAGGTCAGACCCATGTGGCTGGAATGAATGGAGGTCAGAGAGAAGGTAAGGTCAGGTCCGGGAGGACCTTGGCCTGGGGAGAACTTTGGCTCACAGGCCAGCACTCAGTCCACTGAGCCACACCAGCCAGGGCAAGATTTCCTTTTTTGTGGTTGAATAATGTTCCATTTTATCTATAGACAGTTGACCCTCAAACAACACAATTTGAACTGTGCAGGCTCCCTTATACGCTGATCTTTTCTTTCAATAAATATTATAAATATTTCTCTTCCTCATGATTCCCTTCAGAACATTTTTTTCCTCTGATTTACTTTAAGAATACAGTATATAATATGTGTAACATGCAAAATACATGTTAATCAAGTGTTAATGTTATCTATAAGGTTTCTGATCAACTGTAGGCTATTAGCAGCTAAGTTTTCGGGGAGGCAATGGTTGTGGGAGGATTTTTGCCTGCGAAGGTAGAGGTTGGTGCACTGGAAACCCCTGTGCTGTTCAAGGGTCAACCGTAAGTCACAGTTTCTTTATCTATGCACCTGCTGAGGGCACCTAAGTTGCTTCTGTGTCCTGGCTATTGTGCACAGCGCTGCCGTGAATGGGGGTGCAGGTATCTCTTTGAGGTACTGATTTCTTTCCCTTTAGATAGATTCCCAAAAGTGAGATTGCTGGGTCATAGTGTAATTCCATATTTAATTTTTTTTTAAGAATTCCACAGTTTTTTGTCATGGCCGTACCCATGTGTATCGCCACCGACAGGGCACCGGGCTTTCCCAACTGGCTGGCTCTGAGCAGGGACAGACCTTAGGTGATTTGATTTTAAAGGGCGAGTGGGTGAGAAGTTGACTGGAAACTTTCTACCAGAGAGGTCAGAACCTGGATGCCCTGTGTGGGACCATCGTTTATTGTGAAGTGATGTTCCGGGAGTGGGCTGGCACCTCCAGGTGAGGAGCTCTTGCCAGAATGAGCCTGAATCTGACCTAATTCCCAGTTTATAGGGCATTTCCAGGATAGCTCGAGTGGCACCACAAAGATGCCCTCAGCCAAATCCAAGATATAAAAAATTGTACAGGGCAAAGGACCCAGTTTCTTCAAGAAATAAGTGGCACACAAAAGGTTAGGGAATGGTCGAAGATTTAAAAGACCCAAGAAGCCCTGGCTGGTGTGGCTCAGTGGATGGAGAGCCAGCCTGCAAACCAAAAGGTCACTGGTTTGATTGCCAATCGGGACACATGCTGGGGTTTCAGGCCAGCTCTCCAGCTGGGGGCGTGCGAGAGGTAACTGATGGGTGTGTTCTTGCACATTGATGTTTCCCTTTCTCCCTCCCTCCCCCTCTTAAAAATAAATAAATAAATAACATCTTTAAAAAAAAAAAAAAAGACCTAAAATGGTTTAAACGAAGGCACTGCGTGGTGAGGCTTCCGGTCCTTGTCTGAACAAACCCCATTATAAATCACATTTATGAGACTGTCAGGGAGTCGTGACCACTGACACTGCAGAACGGCTCCTTGCCGCAGGCGCGACATGGGCACTGAGGTTGCAACTTTGTAAAAGGCGGATTTCAAAACGGGAGTTATCGTTGTAAGAAGTTAAGAGTCTTCTGTTGTGGGTGATGAAAATTTGGGGGTATATATACATTGTGAACGCATTTGGTGCCACTGAACTTACGAATTTGGTGCCACTTATGTATGGTTAAAACGATAAATATCCATACGCATGTTTAGCGCCCACGCACAAACTAAAGACTACCCTAATTCTAATACTTTAACTGGGGGCCCAATTATTCTTCACTGTTTAATCCATTTTGAGCTTGTATTTTCTTTTGCTTGTGGCGGAAATCACCCTGACACCTGTCGCCTCTCATGCTGACGCAGCGCAAAGCCCACCCTTCCTCAGAGAAGAGTCTGCTGGCGTTTCTCTGAGCGCGAGTTTTAAGCGCCGAGGAAGGAAGATCGTTGTGTTAATTTAAAAGAAGAAAACCTTAAACATCAGTCATTCATTTTCACATCACACTGTTGACCTAAGAAACGTCCTAACCTGTAGAGAGAGAATTTTTATGAGTTTATTTGAGCCCATTGACGGCAACTGCCAGGCCACAAAATCTCAACAGATTGAGAAAAGCTCCAGAGACTGGCAGTTTTGCAGCTTATTTTATGCCTTAGAATCAGAGGAGGAGGAGAGGTAGGGAGGGATACTTGAAATCCACCGATGGTAGATTTACGGGGCGGGGGAAAAAGCAAATCGAGGATGGCAGGGGGAGGGGTGGTGGGGGAGGGGCAGGGGGAATCTCTGGGACTGGGTGAGACGCACACTTCTTCCTCGGGACAGTTAACATTTACAGCACAGACAGATGTTATGCGGGAGAAGAAGATAACAAGGAGGGACTCAGTGTTTCTTCTCTGGAGCCCTGGGTGTGCCCTGAGGGTCTGGCAAAGCAGATCACTCTGATATTTCAAAGGTATGTTATCTCAGATGCAAAAACAGAATAGACAGGCTCACTGACGGTAAAGACTGACCTTTGTCAATAAGACTATGGGCGGGGACCTGCCACGACCTGGTGCTTTTTAAAAAAAATATGTAATCTTTATCATATTTTTTCCATCACCATTTAGTCCCCTTATACCCTTCTCCCCGCAGCAATCCCCACACTGTTGTCCATGTCCATGAGTCCTTTTTCCTTTTTACTCAGTCCCTCCACCCCCTACCCTCACCCCCATTAGCTGTCATCTGCTGTCTATCTATGGATCTGTCTCTATTTTGCTTGTTAGTTCATTTGTTTGTTAGATTCCAAACATGAGTGAAATCATATGGTATTTGTCTTCCTCTGACTGGCTTATTTCAATTAGATTAATGTTCTCCAGGCTCACACATACTGTTGCAAAGGGTAAAATTTTATTCTTTTTTACGGCCGAGTAAAATTCCATTGTGTAAATGTCCCATAGTTGTTTATCTGCTCATCTATTGATGGACGCTTGGGCTGCTTCCAGATCCTGGTGATTGTAGGTAACGCTGCAACGAACAGAGGGGTGCTTATGTTCTTCCCAGTTAGTGTTTTGGGTTCTTCAGATATATTCCCTGAAGTGGGATCACTGGGTCAAAAGGCAGATCCATTTTTAATTTCATGGAGCTGCGTCCATACTGTTGTCCACAGTGGCTGCACCGTCTGCATTCCCACCAACAGAGCACAAGGGTCCCCCTCTCTGCACATCCTCGCCAGCACTTGTTTGTTGATTTATTGATGATAACCATTCTGACAGGTGTGAGGTGATATCTCATTATGGTTTTTATTTGCATTTCCCTGATGATTGGTGACGTTGAGCATCTTTTCATATGTCTATTGGTCATCTCTGTGTCCTCTTGGGAAAAGTATCATTCAGGTCCTTTGCCTATTTTTTAAATGGGCTGTTTGTTTTTTCAGTGTGGAGTTTCGTAAATACTTTATAAATTTTGGATATAATTCCTTACGATGTATTGGTGAATATATTCTCCCATTCTGTGGGTTATTTTTTATTTTATTTTTATTTTTTTATTTTATTCCTTTGCTGTGCAAAACCTTTTTAGTTTGATGAAGTCCCATTCGTTTATTTTTTTCTTTTGTTTTCCTTGCCTGGGTAGATATAGTTGAAAAAAAATTTTTATGAGCAATGTCCAAGATTTTGCTGCCTGTTTTCTTCTAGGATTTTTATGGTTTTGGGTCTATCATTTAAGTCTTTGATCCATTTTGAATTTATTCTTGTGTGTGGTGTAAGAAGATGGTCTGGTTTCATTTTTCTGCATGTATCTGTGCAACTTTCACAATACTGATTATTGAATAAACGATCTTTAGCCCACTGTTTGTACTTGCTCCTTCTGTCAAATATTAATTGACTATAATGGTGCAGGTTTATTTCTGGGCTCTCTATTCTGTTCCATTGATCAGTGTGTCTGTTTTTATGCTAGTACCAGGCTGTTTTGATTACTATGGCCTTGTAGTATAGTTTGATATTAGGTAGCAGGATTCCTCCAACTTCATTCTTTTCCAGGATCGCTGTTACTATGTGGTGCCTTTTGTGGTTGCATATAAACTTTTGAAACATTTGTTCTAGCTCTGTGAACTAAACATGACCCACTTTTAGTTAGGAATTTTTATGTTCAGGCCATCCTATGTGGTTACTTCCCATCTGAGTGTATAAGGCCTGTCATGTGGGCCTCCTCTGTGCTTGTCGGGTTTAGTATGTGACCCCTTTTGTGTCCCTAACACTGACACATATGGAAAGAAAAAAGTAGTAATAGTAAATCCAAGAACTTAGGTTGTATTTTGTTGCTTTTAAGTCCCCAAAATTTTCACATTTATTTTTTGAAATATTTTTAAAAAGATTTTATTTATTTATTTTTAGACAGAGGAGAAGGGAGGGAGAAAGAGAGGGAGAGAAACATCAGTGTGTGGGTGACTCTTGCACAGCCCCCACCAAGCGCCTGAACCGGCAACCAACCCCTTGGATTGCAGACCAGCACTCGATCCACTGAGGCACACCAGCCAGGGCTATTTTTTTCGAAAATTTTAAGTCTTTCACATGCTATATTGGTTTTACACGCCCCAACTGGGGACTGAACCTGCAACCTAAGCATGTGCCCTGACTGGGAATGGAACTGGCGACCTTTCACTCTGCAAGATGCCCAGTCAGCAGAGCCACACATTCAGGGCTCAACAGTTCTTTATTTTTGTTGTGGAGAGTCCCTCCCTGGGACATGGTGGCTCACGTACCATCTCGATTGCTTGCACACCCTCTGGAGCACAAAGGTCGAATTTCTTGTTAGCCTCCTGGAGTCAAGTAGGTCATGTGTTCCAGTTCCTGGAACAGCAGCTTCCCAGGTGCATTAATCACGTCAGCCTCTCAACTATAATAAAAGCTGAAATCTTTAATTCTTGAGTTCCCTTATTAGTAACATCATGGAAAATTAAAGAAAAAACTTCAATGATACATGCACTGCTGAAGCATTCAGGGGCAGATAAAAGGATGTCTGCAAGTTTCTTTGAAACTCCTGGAAAAGTGAGCTGGACAGACAGGTGGACAGAAATGTGCTAAAGCAAAGTGAACCCACTGGCACGCAGGGTTCCCAAACAATTCCCTCACTTAGGTGCACGTTTGAAAATCGTCATTGAACATGGGAGGGGGGATGCTTTTTACTCTTAGAAATGCATATTCGGTTATTTTCTGGAGTTTGCTTTAGAGTAATTGTAAAGGAGTGACAGGTAAAATAGAACTAGCAGAAAAGGGAATAGATGAAATAAAAATAGCAGGAAGTTAATGGTTACCAAATGAGGCTGGTGATTGAACTAGTCTATTTTTGACTTTGAAAATTTTCTTACTAGATGATTAACAAATAAAAGGATGCTTCTGGTTTCTTTTCTGAGAGAAGGCAGGAGGAAAAGGGTGAGAAAAGCAGGAGTAGGATTAGGATTTGTGTTTCAGCGTCTACTTTCAGACTGGGAGAGTTCGGGCTTTCTCTGGCTGAGGGCACCCCTCCAGGTCAGCAATGCATCCCTCCGTTACCTTCTCCCTGCTATCCCGCCCCCTCCCAGCCTCACCGGAAGTGAGTGCAGGACAGGCCCCTCCCCCCCACATCTGGTACTGATGTCAACAGCTAGGGTGGGTGGGGGCCATGTTTTTCAGCTCCCGCCTAGCCTCCAGGGAGGGGTGGGCCCCCCATCCTTACTCCTTACTCACAATGTCAGACACTGTCACACACACACACATCAGGCACTTCCACGGGCCTGGACCAGGGGCCAGGAACAAACTTTTATTGCAAAACAGGGACCTTCGAGCCACAACGCGGAAGGACCTGGCCTCTTCCCCTGACACAGGGAGTTGGAATCTGGCCCTTACTTGGTCGTCTAGCCCTTTCCTCTAAGTCAGCTTGAGACAGCCAGTCACTGTGTGTGTCGTGGGGGTAGAGGAGGCTTTCGATGTGGTTGTGTAGGCTGCAGCGTGGATGGTGGGGGTTCCTCTGGTCTGAGGATCCTTGTGTGTTCTAGTTTTACTTGGTTCCCAGGCCTGTGTTTACAACTGCACAATATGGGTGCATCCATATTTGGGAGAATTTGGGGATCAGGGTGCTCGGAGAGGGGTGTCCTTGAACACTGAGGTGCGGAGGAGGCTGGGCTCGGACTCTGAGTAGGAAGATATTCAGGAGTCAGGATGAGGTCACATGTGAGCTGGCTGTGTTGTCCAGTGCTTAGGGGCATGTGGCTGGTGGTGGCCATGTGCCTGGACAGTGGTGTGGTCCCTCGAGGGCTGAGGACAGTCTCTCTGTGAGGTGACATGACCCAGGCAGGTGTGTGCTCTTTGCACCAGGCTCCCAGAGACAATGGCACTGGTAAGTCCGAGAGTGAAGAGGGTGTGTGGCCCATGATTTGGTGGCTGTTGCAGTGGCAGCCGAACTCCCACAGATGGGTCGTGAGTCCAGGGCAGTTATGTTGTGCACAAGTGCTGGGTTATCTGGGCAGGTGATTCCAGACAGACTAGACTGTAGCGAGCTCGTGTGGCTGAGTTGCCTCGTGGCCGTGTATGGGTGTGTGGTTGTGTGCCTCAACAGCTGTGTGGCCAGTGAATGTGGCCCTGTGGACAAGCAGGCTGAACATCTGTGTGAATGACCCTAGAAAACAACTACAGGTGTGTGAATGTGGTTTCCTGTGGTGTCAACTTGTGGATGCAGACACAGCCCTGTCCGTGCCCATGGTCAAGGCCACTACCTCCCAATGCCCCTCCTTCATTTGGTCTGTACCAAATGAAGGGGTGGAGGTCAGTAGGGCCGAAGTTGCAGCTGAAAGTGTGGGGGGATGTTGAAAAGGCCACTGACAGATGGCTGGAGGCTCAGGGCGCTGGGCGGGCAAGGGCTCTCCAGGGAGACGGCCTGCAGGATGGCGGTGACAAAGAGGAACAGCTCCGTTCGAGCCAGGCCCTCCCCGAGGCAGACACGCTTACCTGGGAGGAAGAGGATTATAGGACTGGGCCAGCCCTCCTCGCACCGCTGCCAGCGGGTAGGCAGGGACGGGCCCAGCAGTTACCTAAGGAGAAGGGCAGGAATGCCTCTTGCTTCTTGAACCTTCCGTCTGCATCCAAAAATCGGCCTGGGTTAAACTCCTCAGGCTGCTCAAAGATGTTCGGGTCATGCAGGACAGAGCCCAGGAGGGGGAAGACCTCAGTGCCCTGAGGGGAAATAGTAACAGAACCACAGATATGCTTCACTACCAGCCCTGCACTGCCCCACACCATCTCAGCTTCAGCTCCTGCCCAATTTGTTTTTTATCTCTATCCTGACCTTCCTGGATGCCGCCTCATAGGTGGCTCCTGGCACGTCACACTCAAAGTGTCCCAAAGTGGCCTCAGTGTCTCCCCTGAAACAGCCTCTCATTCCTCCTGTCTCCATCTCGGGGGAGCCCCTTTGTCCCCAGCCCCCTGTGTGGAGCCCTGGGCCTGTCCCCAGATGCCTCCCTCCCCATCATTCCCTGTCACCTACTTACTTGGCTGCTTGTTTTTTCCTCATGGCTTGACCCAGCCCTGTCCTCTCCCACCCAGGAGGCCCTGGATTCACAACCCACCTGTGGGAGTTCAGCTGCCGCTGCTCTCCCCAGGGCAGAGCACGAGGGTCTGTAATAGCATCAACATGTACAAGCTACGTACAGGCCAAGCAGTTTATTGCGCATTTTGTGTATGAGTACGCACTCATGTGTACTAGGCACACGTCTTCCACTTACTCAAATACACACGTAAACTCACGGAATATTTTAATAAGCCTAGGACATGGCTGCTAATGTGGTCCTCATTTTAAAGATGGGACGACTGAGGCTCAGAGACCTTAAGAAACTTGCCCAAGGCAACATTTAACAGAGCAGAGGCTATTATTTTTTACATTTCATTTTTAAAATTCGAGGTATGCTGTGACTCAGCTGTGGCTGTCCTAAGCCACCTGGTGGCCCAGAGCCCAGCATTTTGCCCCTCAGGTCGCCTGAAGGTCAAGGCAAGAGTGGGTGGGCCAGGGCTGTCCACAAAGACTCCCCCTGCCCAGGTTCAGGGAGAGCAGCAGCCTCATCAGTCAGATCAGAGTCATTGAGTTCCCAGGACTGTGGTGGAGGGTGAAGGAAGGTTGGGGGTGGGGGAGGAGAAGGAGAGAGACCTGCATTGCTAGGGACTCTGGCTAACAGGCTCTGAGTTGGGGAGGTGAGAGGACTCCAGAAAAGTCAGGGTTCTGTTATTGCCATTAAAGTAAGAGAAGGGCAGATGGCAGTGGTTAGGTTGGGTGAACGTGGCAAGTCTTGTAACCTACGGGGGCCTCAGTTTTCTCATCTGTAACACGGGCATGTTAGTGGTGTGGGATTGCTCTGAAGACTAAACACGGGCACAGAGCAGGCACTCAGTCATTGGTGCCTGTTATTACTGTTGTTAGCATCAGTCGTGGCTGTCATGCACAATCACGGCATTAGCAAGTGTCCCTGCTGCCCCCCCCCCCCCCCCCAGTGCTGATTGCCTCCTGGATTCCTTACAATCCTGGTTGATAGTATTATCTTTCCCAGTTTAGAAGAGGGGTAGATGGAGGCTCAGAGTGGGAAGTGATTTGCCAAAGGTCCCAGCCAGAACACAATTCTAACTGCCGTGGGTTTGCTTTCATTTGGCAATGAAGCTCAAGGAGGGAGCAGCTTGTGAGAAGGTGCTCTGGGTTTCTGGGGAGACATCGCCCCCTGGTGGTGCTGGCTGTGAGTTGCTCTCCAGTCAAGGGGAGGGAGCTCAGGCGGGAAGAGAAAGTGCGTGTATGTGTGTGTAGGGAAGGAGGAAGTGAAGGGACTGTGTGTTTGCAGCAGGTGTTGAGGGCGAAGGCCTCTGCTAGCCCTCAGTTCTCAAATTGACATCTGGGGAAGCTGAGGCTCAGAATCAAACGGCAAGAGAAATGGAGAGAGAGAGAGAGAGAGGTATGAGAGAAGAGGGCAGACGATGCCACAAGAGAGAGAAACCAAGATCCACAAGAAGTCTTAGAGACACAGATAGCAACAGACTCAGGCCCAGGCAGAGACACTGCTGGGCATGGCGACACTGTGGACCCACCTGGGGCAGGGTGTACCCTCGGAAGCAGGTGGTCTTCGTGAGAGCGCGGGGTATCCCCATGGGCACCAGTGCCAGCAGCCGCTGCGCCTCATGCAGAACCGCGTCCGTGTAGGGGAGGCGGGCTCGGTCCCCCAGGCCTGGTGCCTGGCCAGCCCTTAGCTCTCTTGTCAGCTCCTCCCGCACGCGCTCTGTCCCCAAGAAGAGGTGGATTGGAGGTCAGGGGTGAGGTGGGGACCTCTTCTTGGAAGCCCCCTTTTCTTGAGCAGCTGTGGTTAGGGGTGAGGCTAGTGGGGGAGGAAGAGCCCCTCAGCCCTTGCTGAGCTTGGGTGCTTCATATCCTGCGTGCTGAGCGTTACACCTTTCCTCTCTTAACTCTCTCAGCAATCCTGGGAGATAGGTACCAGTAAGTATCCACATTTCCCAAATGAGGAAACTGAGGCCCAGAGAGCTGAGGTCACAGCTGATCCATTCCACCAAGGCCACCAGACCCCAAGCCCCATATTCCAGGTCAGCCCACACCGCTGGCTCAACGTGAGACGCTGGAGTTCCTTGGGGTTTATTACCAGCCCTGCACTGCCCCACACCATCTCAGCTTCAGTTCCTGCCCAATTTGTTTTTTATCTCTATCCTGACCTTCCTGGATGCCGCCTCACAGGTGGCTCCTGGCACGTCACACTCAAAGTGCCCCAAATCGGCCTCAGTGTCTCCCCTGAAACAGCCTCTCTTTCCTCCTGTCTCCATCTCGGGGGAGCCCCTTTGTCCCCAGCCCCCTGTGTGGAGCCCTGGGCCTGTCCCCAGATGCCTCCCTCCCCATCATTCCCTGTCACCCCTGACAATCTACCACTTCATGGCAGCCCAAAGTGCTAATGCTAATTGGACCCTGCCCTTCCCTGCCTAACTTCCTCCATGGCTCCCCATTGCTCAGGATGAAGTAACAAGGCCCTGACACAGCTCCTGCCTCATTTGTCACTATGCCTCATGTGGCAACCAGCAGTCCCCCCAGCTGTTGCTCCTCAGACACCCCAGATGCCAGGCTCATGGTCGCCTCCAGGCTCCGGCTCAGATGGTCCACTCCCCTGAAATCCTTCCTGTCCAGCCTCACTTCTGCTTTCTGGGCCCGGCTGGTGGAAAAGGCTCTTTCCTACCTTGGACCTGAGGGTATTTCAGCAGGAGCAAGAGGGTGTAGCGGATCGTGGCGCTGACCGTCACTGTCCCGGCGAACAGCAGATAAATGACAGTCATCAGCAGGTTCTTGTCAGTGAATTCCGTGTTTGGGTCTTGTTCCTCCTGGGAGAAACCGGGCAGAAGGTGTTCAGAGGACACAACATTCAGGGCCTGGCCCGGCCCAGAGTGCAGCCCGGCAGGTTCAAGCTTTGTCAAGGAGCTTAAATAAACGTTTGGGAAAGTCAGAAAGTGGACCCTTGATATTTTTCTTTCTGGCTGAAATTATTTGAAAACGAAAGAGAATGGCCACCACAAACAAAGGACATGACAAGCGTTGGCGAGGATGGGGGGAAACTGCAGCCACCGCCACTGTTGACGAGGATGCAAGATGGCACAGCCGCCCCGGGGAGCAGTGGGGCCGTTCCTCAGAGAGTTAACGTCGACTTCCCACGCGATCCAGCAACACTGTGTCTGGGCCTATCTGCAAAAGCAGGGTCTGGAAGAGGTATTCGTACACTCATATTCACAGGGGCGTTAGACACTACGGCTGAAAGGTGGGAGCAGCCCAGGTGCCCATCGATGGATGAACGGATGCACGAAACAGAGGCTAGCCATACGATGCAATAGGATTCAGCCTTAAGAAGAAAGAAAATCTGCCACGTGCTACAATACACATGAACCTCGAGGACAGCACACGCTGCTACGTGACGGATGCGGTGCGGTTGCCCTTTGCGAGGTACCTGCAGTTGGCAAATTCGTGAAGACGGAAAGCGGAAGGGGGCTGGCCCGGGGCTGGGGGAGGGGCATGGGGACTCGTTTTGAGAGAATCTCCGCCCTCCAGTTGGAAAGAGCACCTGATCTGAGCACACTCCCCACCATTGAACTGTGCACTCAGAAATGGTTAAGATGGTGAGTTTTATGTTATGTGTAGTTGACTACAGTTACTTTTTTTTTATTAAAAAAAATAAAAGAGAAAAGACATGGGGCCACGACAGTAAGAAAAAAACCCTCTCTCTCCATGAACAAGGTGGCTGCATTTATTCGACGGCTGTGGCCCTGAATATCTCCCACAATTCCAAAATTCCTTCAGTCCAAAACTCGTTATTTCCACAGGAGTCGCCTTAATTCTTATTCTCTCGTATACTAAATTGTTTTTATATAATCAATAAAGCAGGCTTTATCACTATAATTCGCTATTGCTAGGTTTCATAAGGAAATGGCTGTAAGTCACAGAAAAGTCCTGTGAGGATGGAGGGAGCAGGGGGTGGGGTGAGGCTGTGGTGTCATTGCCTGTGGCAGGTCACCGGGCACGGGGTTGAGGTTGCAGCAAGGAGAGCGAGGAGAGATGCAAGAGACTCAGACACGGGCAAGGGGGCGGTGGAGAGAGGCAGAACGATGCACCAGAAACACGAGATAACCACACACATGCACAGACGCAAATTCGTGGAAATGTGGGGAGAGGGAGAAAAAGAGAGAGGAAGAGGAATGGACTGACAGATTCCCAGCCACACCTGGGGGGCAGGCAGCCAGGCCACCAGCCCCATTCAGGAGACTCACTCAACAGCAGCCTTCCTCTACCTTTGCCATCTTCAGCAGAAAGGCATCCACAACATCGCCTGCAGGGCCTGAGGGGTCCAGACTCCCCCGGTGCCGCTGCACCTGCTCGATGGCGAAGGTGGCCAAGGTGTCCACATGGCGGAGGAGCTGGGTGTGGGGGCCTGGAAGGGGCTGCAGGAGCCAGGAGAACATCTCGTAGGCCTGTGGGGAGGAGGGCAGCTGTTCCCACTGGGGGCCTGGCCCTGCACCAGGGTGAAGGGGCCGGTGGATGGGGTGGCCTGGGGGTTCCTTGGAACAGGTAGGCAGGAGCCTTTGGGGAAGGTGGCTGGAGAGGGGTCGCATCTGCTTACCTGGCCCCATGGAGAGCTGATCCCCAGAAGGATGCCACCAGCTGCCTGGACCACAGCCTTGAACTCCTCATCCTCATAGGGGAAACGAAGGCCCAAGGTGAGGGAGCACACGACATTGGAGGTGGCCTGGGCCAGCAGCAGGGAGGGGTCAAATGGCTGTCCTGGTACAGATGGGGCAAGAAGTGTTGGGGTGCAGTCACAGAGGACCGACTCTGTGGGGGTCAGGTGCAGCCACAAAGAGACAGGCCTGGAGACAGAGAGAGACAGACACACAGAAACAGACAAGGAAGAGAGAAAGACATGGACAGGGAGACAGACAGACAGACAAGGAAAGAGGCAGAGACAAACTTACAGGAGAGAAAGGCAATAGAGAGAGAAAAAAGAAGCAGAAAGTGATGTAAAAATACCAGGGACACAGAGACCCTCGGGGAGACAGCAGGACAGAGATGGAGGTGAAGGAGGAGCTGGAGGTGGAGGGGAGTAGAGCCCCCAGCCTGGGCATTGTGGGAAGGTCCTTCCACACGCACAGAGAGCCCGGGGACCCTGGCTGACCCTGCCCTGCTGACCTGCTGTCCTCTGGAACGCCTCCACCAGACACTGGGCCTCCGCCTGGATCAGCTCCTCGCCTTGCCGCCTCCCCATGCCCAGGTCCCGCAGAGCAAGTGTGGTGAATTTCCTCAGCTGCCTCCACCTCTCCCCATTGGAAAAGAAAACCCCTGCACAGAAGGTGAAGTTCAAGGGGAAACTGGCTCCTGTCCCCATTCCCCAGGACCACCCCCTTCCTCCCAGCGAGGTGCCCTGAGGAGGGTCTTCAGGGCCTGTCCTGAGTCTGTGTCGGCCTAGCCCAGGGATGAGGACGCAGAAGGTGCTTAATAAATACCTAACCTTGGGTCAGAGCGTGAGGTTCTCCAGAGAAGTTGGCAAGTAGGATCACTCAGGCTCCTTCTGTTCTGTGATTAACCAGGGTAAGGGGAGCTTCCTTTCTCCTTCCTGCCTGCCTTTCTTCCATTCATCTTTTTATTCTTCTTTTTTACCCACTTGCCCTTTAATCCTTCCTTTTCCCCCCTTCCTTCCACCCATCTCGACATTTATGGAGCATGATTTGGTCCTAGCTATGCACCCGCCCCAACATTTATGGAAGTCCGTCAATCCATCCATCTATCCACCCATCCATCCGTCAATCCATCCATCCACCCATCCATCCATCCACCCATCCGTCCATCCATCCATCCACCCGTCCGTCCATCCATCCATCCATCCATCCATCCACCCATCCGTCCATTCTTCCTTCTCATTTATGGAGGACTATTTGGATCCCTTGCCCCCTGCTGTTTGGAGGCTGAGCAGTGCGGGAGGAGGATGCAGTTGCTTTGCTCTCCTCCTTTACCTGACACTTGCTCTGGACAGAGCCTTTGCTGCTCTGAGCTCAGTTTTCCCACCCGTGGAGTGTTTCCTGGGTGCCTCCCACTGGATGTCCTCTGCCCACCTAGCCCTGTACTGCGTCCCCAGCCAGCCTCAGCAGCTCTCCTCCTCCCCATTCTCAGCCCACTATCCCCCACCCCGTGTTCCATGACCTGGATTCCTCTCCCAAGCACACCCGATTCCAACCCCGAGATCGCGTCCCTGGTCCGACCCCATTCCCTCCCTGGGCTCCCACACAGAAACCCAGGGGATCCTTCTAACTCTGAACCCATTCCTGGCTTAAAATCTACTGCTCCCCCCAAAACCCAAAGCCCAAACACTCCGGTGTGACTCAGGCCCTGCATGACTAGGCTCTGCCGACTTCTTCAGCTTTATTAGTCATCCCACTACGATCCCACTGGCTTCTCTCACTTCTTCAAAGGTGTCAGGATCCCGCACCTCTAGGCCTGTTCCCTGCTGTTCTCTCTGCCTGGATTGCTCACCTCTCCATCCTCCCTGAACTAATTTCATTCATGCTTCACACCTCAACTCAAACGTCACCTCTGAGAAGCCTTCCTAGATTCCTCCCATTCTTTCTCAACCCTGTACAGGTTCTGTGTCCTGCTGTCAAGGCTGTACTTCTCATTTGAGAACTCTGTTCTGCCCCCCCCCCATTGTCTTATTGCAAACCTACCTCTCCCCAATGAGATAGGACAACACATTTGTCTCAGTTGCCTCTGGGTCCCCAGCACCCAGGGCAGGGCCAGGTATAATGAAAGCTTGTCAGTTGAATGAACGAATGCTTCTTTCATCTCCATGCTTCTGTACTTGCCATCTCTCCCTGGAACACCCTTCCCGCTCATCCTGAGTCTCAGCTCAGACACCCATCTTTCAGGAAGGCTTTCTGGACGTCCCCCAGCCGATGAGTAGGGTCAGGGACCTCCTCCTATTCCTGCTTCCCCCACCCAGGCCCTGAGCCCTCTGCCAGGGACACCCACTTCCCCATTCCTGACCTCTCTGTACTGTCACTGTCTGGTGACAAGTCTGTCTCCCCACTGGCCAAGGAACTGTGTGTGGGGGGTGCTGAATGGGGCTGTGTAGCCACTGCTGTGTGGGACTCTGGCTTTCAGTTTTAGCACAGGCAACGGTGCCTTTCGACGTGCTGTGTTTCCACGTCAGTTAATGCCCAGCGCCTCGAAAGCTCAGCCCTTCCCCCCAGCCCTAGGGGTTTCTGCTGGACCAGCTGTAACATTACCGCACCTGGTCACTACTAAGCACTGGCTTTGTGCAAGGCCCAGCCCTCATTTCATCTTTACTACAGCCCAATGTGCAGGCACTGGTATCAGCCCATTTTGTGGACGAGGATACAGAGGCATAAAGCAAACATGAAGGTCACGTACAGGTAAGTGGAAAAAGGCTCCACTCCACCCATGACTCACCATGGCCGTCGAAGGTCCGGTCCAGCGTCGCCAACATCCCCCGCCCACTGAACTCCTCAGCCTGACCTCCCAGGGCTTCCTGCACAGCCTGGTGCCCAACCAGGACCACCACACGCCGCCTGGGTCCCAGGTGCACGGTGAACACCGGTCCATACTTCTTACTCAGCTGGGGGCAGGGAGGGAGAAGGGGGTGATGCCTCTTCCGGTCTAGACGTCTCCTTCACGGCCCAGTCACTGGATGAGCCACCTGCCAGGAACCAGCCCCAGGTCCCCAGACTTCCTCACCAACACTCTCTAGTCCCCATGCTCTTACCTCCTGCAGAGCCCGGACTCCTGACCTCAGGACAACCCAGAGCCCATCCCTGCCCTCCCCATTCTGACAGGCACCAACAAAATCCCCACAGCTTTGGTCTCCCCTCATTCCTCAACCCCCCCTCCCCCAAACTGGCCACCCTTTTCCGTCACTGCTAGACCCTCAGATTCTGGAGCACACACTGCGGAGCACCTGCCCGCCCTCCCCAAGACCCCCACCGCTGGCCACGTCCTGGAAATGCCCCAGACTCTTACCCGTGGGGAACCTCCGGTCTCTTCCCACTTGCTCGTCCCACAAAAGTTGGGGCTGCTTCCCCCTCTCTGTCGCAGGAGCGCCCAGCTCTACCTACTCCCGCCCCGCCCAGATTCTCTGCAGACAGATTCCTGGAACCATCCGGCCTCTGCCTCCACTTCCCCCCAGGGACACCTCCCTTCTCTCCTGTGCCCGTCCTCTGAGGAGCTCACCTGTATCTCCCCAGGTACCTCTCCCTCGCGACAGCCCATCACCACCACACCTCTCGCTTCTCTCCCGCTCCACGACTCCCTCCTCTCTCAGCTTCCCTCCCCGCCTCCTTCCCAGGGGTCTCAGAGGGCTTCTCTGCCCCGGGACCCCTGCCACTGGGTCCGGCTCCGGCTCTCGCCCCACTGCAGGATCCCGTGGGGGAGACGACTCAGCTCCTCCTAGTCCGGCCCCCACCTCGTCCTCTCTCCCCGGCCGCCCGCACTCCCGCCCCACCCCACCCCAGAACACCCGTAGCCCCTTTGCCCGGGCCCCCGGGCTTGCCTCCTCCTTCGGACGCACGAGGACCTCTGCGCCCGGCGCTGCCGTTTCTCTCCCCGCAGTCCCCTTCCTTCCTCCTGGACCTGGACCCCTGCCTCTAGCACGGGCGTTCCCGCAGCTCCTTACCCGCAAGAGCCCCGAGTACAGCTCCCCGGGCCAGAGCTGCAGCAGGTTCCCCAGCAGCGGCAGCGGCGTGGGCCCAGGGGGCAGGAGGCTCCGGGTCCGCGTCCGGAGCAGCGCCAGCGGCAGCAGCAGCAGCAGCAGCAGCAACACCAGCAGCAGCGCCCAGCTGCTCGTGGCCTCCATCCCCTGCTCCGAGGCTCTCCACCCGGCTGGGACAGGCCGGGCAGCTCCCTTCTCAGCGAAATCAGGGGGAGAGAGGCAGGGCAGGCAGCCCCTTGCCCTGCCTCCAGAAAAAAAATTCTCTCCCCGCCGCCCGATTTCTTTCTTCTAGACCCTCGCCGCCGCCACCTGGTGTTGGGGACACTCGCTCTAATGGTTTCCTCTCCAGTCACCCAGGTTCGAGGGGCGGAGACAGCTCCTCGGCCGAAGTAGGGCGTGGGCAAACCGAAGGAACCTGGAAGCCGGAGACTTGGGCGGCCTCCAGGAGGCCACACCCCGAACTTGGCGGTGACCTGGGCGCGGCCCTCCCCAGCTCCCACCTCCCCACTCTTTACCGTCCGGGTGCGCGCTCACCTGTGCGTGCCTGCGTGGTGTCTTTGAGGCTATTTCCTCTAGCATCTGGCATCTTTGCTACGAACTAGATGGAGAAATTGACCTTTAACAGAAATTAACAAGAAAAATCTGAGGTTCAGAAAGGTAAGTCGGTTGGTCCTGGGCCGCCACACAGCCAACCAGATTTAAACGCAGGCCAGTCGGAATGACTGGCGGAATCGTCCACTTCGGCAGCAGTGCGCTTATGGGTGAGGGACCCCCTGTTCACAGCCGGGCTTCTCTGTGCTGCTGTCAACTCTTGGAGAATAGGGGTCGATTTCAGGATTGTATGGATACGGGTGAGCACACAATTTAAAACAGGGCCAAGTGAGTGTGTTAAATAAATGTTAGTTACCATTTTGAGGTGTAACTACAGACAATCGTTCTAGACTTGGGGATGCAGCCTTAGGTAACAGTGGATTGGGCCCTGCTCCCAACTTTTTTTTTTTTTTTAAGATTTTTATCTATTTATCTTTAGAGGGGAAGGGAAGGAGAGAGGGAGAGAAATATCAATGTATGATTGCCTCTCGGGAGTTCCCTGCTGGGAACTGGCCTGCAACCCAGGCGTGTGCCCTGACTGGGAATTGAACCGAGATCTTGTGGTTCGCAGGCCTGCACTCAATCCACTGAGCTACACCAGCCAGGCCCTCCCTGAGCTCATTTCCACATGCAAATAAAGTAATAAGATAATTTCAGGTAGTGCAAAGTCCTGCCAGGGGGATGGGCTTATGGGAGAAGATGTGACAGCATCCCAGTCCGAGCTGTTTGGTTCAAAGCCTCCCGCCCAGCGTCTAGAGCAGCGCCTGGCACACAGGAGGTGCTCAGTAAATATCTGTTGCATCAGAGGTCGAATGTAGGAGACGAGGTCAGTGAGAGCAGCAGGGGCATCTTGCAGGGTCCTGGAAAACTCTTCACATTTTATTTCTAGTGCGGAATGAAGCAGATTGTCAACATAAGAAATGTCCAGCCCTGGCTGGTGTGGCTCAGTGGATGGAGTGCCGGCCTGTGAACCAAAGGGTCGTCAGTTCGATTCCCAGTCAGGGCACATGCCTGGGTTGTGGGCCAGGTCCCCAGTAGGGGGCGAGCATGAGACAACCACACACTGATGTTTCTCTCCCTCTCGCCCTTCCCACCGCTCTAAAAAGTAAATAAATAAAAAGTGAATAAACAAAAACAAAGACAAAAAACCCCAAACGTCTAAACCTGTAAGAATTTTCATGAGTTTATCTCAGCCAAACTGACAATTGCCAGGAAGCCAAATCTCAGAGGATTGAGAAAATGCTCTGAAAAATGGCAGTTTTACTGTTTATTTTATACATCAAAATCAAAGGGGAAGACATACGGGGTGTTAGGGTGGTCAGCTATAAAAGAATTCACAAAGAGAAGAAAATACATAGGGAAGTTTATGTTACTTCTCCAAGAAAGAAAAAGGTCCAGGTGCAGAGGTGAGCATCAACACTGAGGGGTGGGGGCTTTGAGCTCTTATTGGATTATAATTAAATTATAAGCGGGTGGGGGAGGTTGCTGTTGTGTGGCCCCTGGGCTGTGGGGGGCGCTGCAACTCAGGAGGCTTTGGGCGGTTTTGCATAAGCTGCAGTTTGCTCCTATGTAATCTGTGGGGAGTGGGTGGGGGGTGGGAGGTGGGGTGGACAGCCAACCACATTCTGTTCTTGCTCTCTAGTAATTGTCAGTCCTGGGGACATAAGTTCAGAAGCGTATACAATGGCAGTCATGCTTAGCCAGGTCACAGGCCTGCTCAGCAGACGGTGACAGGACAGCAAATGGCACTGGCTTTGTCCTTTCATTCCCCACTCTGGTTTTAAAATGGATTTATTCTTAATTCTGGTTCTGAGGAGTAGAGATGAAGATCTCTTCTTCTATAACTACAGGTGGGTGAGGGGTGTAGAGCTGTCCCTGTCTCTGGGTCCCGGTGTGGGTCATTAATGAGAAGAGGGTGGAATTGTGAAACTGGGGGGAAAAAAACCCCAAACTCCGGCGTTCCTGCTGCCTGTCACATATCGAACCCAATAAGCAGAGACAGGGATTGAATCCCTATGGGCGCTTTATTCAGGTGGCTGGTGATCCGAGAAGATGGCATGTTCACACCCTAATGGACCATCTTACATTTTCTTCCAAGCCAGCCTTTTTATAACAGAGAACGAAGTGTAGGTAAGGGGTTTGGAATTCAGGGAAAAGTTAATTGGATTAAAAGACCTGCAGTATTCTTGCCCTGTGCAGTGGTCTCTATCTGTGTCTTGGACAGTGGTCCTCTCACCCCGGAGTACAATGGCTCAGATACCATCTTCACGGCTTGCAGTCCCCCTGAGGCACAAAGGTGGAACTGCTCGTGGTCTCCTGGAGTCAGGGTGAGTCATACCTTCAGTTCCCGGAACAATGCGTTTTACATGCATTTTCTTCCACACTCCCTAAGTCACCCTCATTTTATCAAAGCGACTGATTACTAAGCTTATTAGCTATTACTTAAACTAAATAATTTCAACTCTTGAGTGCTTTATCAATTGGACAGCCAGAAAAGCAAGAGCTGTGGCCAGAGGCCGTTTGTGGAGGGAGTCACCAGAGCCTGGGCCCTCTGGTGAATGAAGAAATGAAGGATATTGAGGAGACAAGGTCTAAAAATAAGAATAAATAAAAAGCTCTGGCTGGCGTGGCTCAGTGGATTGTGCGCTGGCCCGCAAACCAAAGGGTCACCAGTTCAATTCCCAGTCAAGACTTGTACCCGGTTGAGGGCCAGGTCACTCCACCCCCTGGTGGGAGGCTTGTGAGAGGCAACCACACATTGATGTTTCTCTCCTTCTCTTTCCCCTATATAAAAATAAATAAATAAGCCCTGGCTGGCGTAGCTCAGTGGACTGAGTGCGGGCTGTGAACCAAAGGGTGGCAGGTTCGATTCCCAGTCAGGGCACATGCCTGGGTTGTGGGCCAGGTCCCCAGTGGGGGCCATGTGAGGGGCAACCGCACATTGATGTTTCTCTCTCTTTCTCTTCCTCCCTTTCTTCCCCTCTCTAAAAATAAATAAATAAATATAATCTTTAAAAACAAACAAGTGAATAAAATGTTTAGAAAAAAAGAATAAAGAAGGGAGGTAGCCAGGAAAACCAGGACTAGATATTGTCTTTAAAATTCCAAAAAGGGAGAGACAGGGTAGGTAAATTCTGTATGGCTGACACTGCATCAGTACTTCTCAATAATTTTAAGTCAAAGGATGAATGAAAATGTAAAACATTAACTTGGGAGAAAGCTAGAAAAATTAGGATTCGATTCCGTTTGCGGGTGACCACTAGACACTGTGATTTCCATTGAAACGCAATTTCTCTCCTATTAGCGTAAGAAACAATTCAAACCTGTGGAGAATTTTTGGTGAGTTTATTTGAGCCAAACTGATGAGAATTGCCAGGAAGCAACATCTCAGTGGACTGAGAAATGCTCTGGAGAATGGCAGTTCAGCACCTTATTTTATACATTAGAATCAAAGAAGGAGCCCTGAGGGGGTTACATGAAGTCCATTGGTGATAGATTAGGGAGAAAGCAAAGCGGGGCTGGGGGGGCACCTCTGGGGTTGCATAAAAGGTAAAATGACAGACACGGAGGTGGGTTCTTTACATAGGTGGGCAGGGGATAGTTAACAGTCAACGATTAACATGATAACAGTCACAATGAGGGGCTTTGTCGGTTCCGCTTGTGCCCAGGAAGTTTGGGAAGAAGAGAAGTTATGTTGACATTGCAAAGGTATGTCACAGATGCAGACACTAGACAGGCTCAGTTAAGGTAAAGGTTGACCTTCGTCGGGGGAAAGTGTTGGCCTAGGACATGACTACCCGCCATGGACTGTTTTTAGTTAATAAGTTTTCATTTTAGACCATTCTGTGTGGCTGCTTTAGGTCTGAGTTTGAAAGGCTGCGTCACAGATCTCTCCTGAGCTTGTCCGGTTGATATGTGGCCCCTCTTCTTCCACACTCCCTAAGTCACCCTCATTTTATCAAAGCGACTGCATTAAATCTGTTTGCAGTTTGGCCTAATTATTCCAATACAACAAGAATAGTAGTGGATCACATAATCTCTTTCAAGTCTGCTTTGCTGGAATTTTCACAGGAACACTTAGACTGACATTTAGTTAACCCTTCGGGGCACAGAAGCCAAGCCACACAGTTGCCATCTGGTTTTGCCTGTAATGCCTACAGGTTTGGGTGGATTCCTCAAGTTCTCGAGGTCCCTGAAATGTGTTCGGATTCCTTCCTTGCCATCTTTCAGGAAAGCAGTCTTTGTTTCTGACCTGAAAAGATTGCCATGAGCCATGCGACAAATCAAGGTACCAAGTCATTTCTCCAAGGGGCTCTTATTGGCTTTAAAAGTCAAAACTAATTCCTTAAGGCTTTCTCATGACCTCCAGAGTACAGGTGAGGCAGGAGAAGGCACACGAAGAACCCTGAGACAGTAATATTGTTACTGGCCAGTGTCTAGCATCCTGCTTACCAGGAAACACCTTTTACCAATTAGGTAGATTAAATAGTAAACTGAGGCAGCGGGGAGGAAAAACACAGGTCTCACACACTAACTCAACAGTCCTGAGCCTGGTCTGTTAATATTGCCAGCTGTTCCAACATCACAAGAGACACTGTGTTAGCAAGAAAGAAGGGAAGTCCTTGAAATTCTATGTAGCATTTCCACTATCTGGGAAAGAAAGCTTTGAAACTGCTTTGATCCCAGAGCTTGGAATGCGGGACAGGGTCCATGGTGCCCAAGAAGGAGCCCATAAAACGACTTTGGTTAATTGTCTACCTCTGGTCACTATCTGTTTTACGAGGGAATCCCTGATACTTACAGAAAGAGCCCATAAATAACTTTGGAAAGTGCCCCAATTTTAATTAACCGCCTCCTGTCACGTATTTGTTTTACAGGATGAACAAATGGAATCTGGAGCAAGATAAGGGTTCGGGCCAACAGACGCCCACACATACCTAAGTCTGGGTAGTCACATTCCCCCAGGAAGCTGGCACCACATTTACCTGTTAATCAATACGTAACTTTTTTTCCCCTCCTATCCCACCACCTATGTAAGTCCTCAGAACAAAGGACTCACTTTCTCTCGGGGGCTCTGGGTGCTCTTGGCTCTCTGGCCATCGGGCCTCAGGCCACCCGGCCTCAGGCTGCCCAGGGGCTTGCCACCCTGGTCTTTAGCCGTTCTTGCTTATGTCACCCTGCTTTGCCCTGAAACTTTGCCTTTCACCTCCTACTCTACTCCATCCTGTTCTCTTCCATGGGAACGGGCCACTAATAAACTGATTACACGCTAATACATGTGCTGATCTGTAATTCTTTACGTGTGTCAGCAAGAAGAACCAGGTCTCTCCCATCCAGGACAGCTCTCCCATTTGTATAGAGCTTGTCCTGAGGGAGGGTGATGGTTGCCAGAGGTAAAGGGGAGTTAAGTGAGCAAGGCAAAGGGGTTAAGGAGCACCAATCAGCAGTTACAAAACAGTCAAATGGATATCATACAAGAAGGTGGGCCATTCAAACTCCTTTGTGCATTTGATGAATTTGCTGAAAAACTGCCAAGTTCTGACCTCAGTTTGGGAGAGGTCGGGCATCGGACAGGGAGCCTGGGCCCAAATAATGCTCTTGGATCCAGCAACCTCACGGGGAGGGAGCTGGGTCGCAGGTTTAGGGGTTCCCAAGGGGGCGGCCGGATCAGGAACGGCTGGAGGAAACCCATCTGAAGGGGGAGCAGGGCGAGAGGCTGGAGGAAGAGAAGCAGGGAGAAGAGATGGGGGGATGCTAGAGAGTTAGGCAAAGGGGTGGAAAAGCGGCTGGAGTTCAAAAATGCCACCTTTTTCTCTGCATTGAGAGGCAGGCCCAATTGTTCCCTGGGCTGCTGGGGGCTTTGCAACCCAGGAGGCATTGGGTGGTTTTGTATAAGCTGCAGTTTGCTCCCATGTTGTCTTGTTTTGTTCCCGCTCTCCAGTAACTTCCAGTCCTGGGGACAGAAGCTCAGAAGAATAAAATGGCATTTGTGTTTAACGAGGTCGTAGGCCTGCTCGGCAGATGGCGCCATAGTAGCAAATGGCACGGGCTTTGGGCTTTGTCCTTTCGAGGGGGTGATGTAAAATTCTTTGGTGATAAAGGCTATACTTTCAGGCATCATTTCCATAGTCTGTTAAAATTCTTTGGTGATAGATTAGGGAGGTGGGAGAAAGCACAGCAGGGAAACCTCTAGGATTAGATGAAAAGTAAAATGAATAGACATGTATTTATTTTATGTGTATTATTATTTTTAATCACCTGAGGGTAGGTTATTGATTTTAGAGTGATGGGAAGGGAGAGAGTGAAACGTCAGTGTGAGGAACATCAGTCAGTTGCCCCCCCCCCCCACTGTGTGCCCTGACTGGGGACAGAACCTGCGACTTAGGCATGTGCTCCGACAAGCTTGGAACCTGCAACCTCCTGGTGTAGGGGACTGTGCTCCAACCACCCGAGCCACCTGTTGGGGTGACACATACTTCTTTTACACAGGTGGGCACAGAGTGACAGTCAACAATGAACGTGATAACAATAATAATGAGGGATTCTGTGTGCTGTGGTTGTGAATTGCTGGGTGGGGGTGGAATATTACTTCGATATTTTAAAAACATGTTATCAGATCTGTTATCCTAGATGCAAACAGACATAGGCAGGCTCAGTTAAGGTGACAATTGACCTTTGTTAGGGAAAAATACTACCCTGGGGGGTTGTCTGTCTCACTTTTCTATAATTTGCGTGTGGTATAACATTTTCTTCTAGTAGGAGGGCACCATACACTTTCCCGGTTTTCATAGTCTGACCCCGAAGTGGGTTTGTATTTACCACGGCCCACTTACTTCCCACTGCGGGCACTCAGGTGCTGTTATTAACATGATCCCCTCTGGTTGTGCAACTGGGGTTTGTGACCTCAAGGTTCAGTTAGGGCCAAGGCTGTAAGAACACGATGCTCCATAAATCCAGAAGCCAGAAAGAAAGAATTTTATAAGTAAATATTTTTTTGCCACAACAGTTATAGAGGGCCGTGTTTTTATAGTCACTTCAGCTCCCACCCAGATTAAGGTAGTTAGTGGTCCTTGTTGGTGTAGGGGGTGAGCACATTCCCATAATTAGGTTCTGGTGTTTATACATAAAATTCCTTTCTCAATATTCCTTTTCCACTAATTTCTACAACTTCCATTATTTTTTTGGCTTTTTATTCATTTAGCAATAATTAAATTATCAGGACAAACTTTTCTTTTAACTTCTCTTTTACACAATAGAATTTTATGCAGCAGAAAGAAAGAAGGAGCTCCTGCCCTTCACCACAGCATGGATGGAACTGGAGAACATTATGGCAAGTGAAATAAACCAGGTGGTGAAAGACAAATATTGTATGATCTCACTTATAAGTGGAAACCAATCAACAAAACAAACGAGTGAACAAAATAGAACCAGAGGCACTGAAATTAAGACCGAGCTGATAGTGACCAGAGGGGAGGATGGAGGAGGATAATGGGGAAAGGAAGGGAAGGATGAACTCGAGGACCAACTATAAAGAACACATGGGCAAGGACAGTGGGAGGTGGGGTGGGTAGGGCAGGGGAGAGTAATGGGAGAAAAAAGGGGACAACTGTAAATAAACAATAAAAAAATTATAAAAATTAAAATGTATACACCTCTTTCCTTCATTTTGCAATAGCGTTCTTCTAAATTTCAAGAGGAAACATAAAAATAGTTTAATTGATAATACAAAAGTTTTCTTGTACACCTTAAGTGATTATTGACAACTGGGCTATGTACACAAGGTCTGAGAAAAGCCTAAAAAACAAGTATAATAATAATAGTAGTAATAAAGTTATTATTATTAATATTAGCAGACAGGTAAAGACAATCAAACAAACAAGGCTCACCATCGATTTGTAGGCACACCAGCCTGGGACGGCTGCCTGTCTCTGATGCCGGCAGCTTCTCATCCTGGAGAGTCTTCGGTCTCCACCGGAGGTGGAGGCGGGCGTCAGAGCCAGGGGCAGATGTCCGTTCTCTGTTAGGCATCGGATGAGATTCCTTCCAACAGTGTTGGAGAGAGTCTTAAATTAATCTATTTTCTAACAGACAAAAATCTCCTTGTTGTACGTTGTGGTCTTTGAAGTCTTCATCTTCCAGCAGCACAGTGTAAAGTTGTTACTCTTGGTATTTAGCGAATTATTGATGGGAAAGGGGAACAAAGGGACTTAGACATTGAGCTTAATAAACTAGGAAGCATAACCTGTCTACAGTTTATGCTTCCACTCCCGGGGACTGTAGCATTGCTCTGTCAAGGAAATTAATGCTCTTCCCTCCCCACTTGGGGACCAGATTGTTGGGGAGGGGGGTTTAGGGGGAGATGCTGGACCATAGAGGTCTGTCAGCCTAAATAGGAGGTGTGGACCCATCTAAAGCCCATGAAAACTTGGGAAGTCAATTAGTCATTTTGAGAAAGCCCCTGGTTTGTTCCAAACCCAAGCTCCTGGTTGAAAGCCGAGGGGAACAAAGAACGTTCTGTCTTGCCTGACGACCTGCACTCTCGTGGGGCATGCACCTGTTCCCTCCATGGCCATGTGGCCCTAGCAGCTTGAATACCGCAGCACAACGATGGGCCACAGCTGGGAACACACACTAAACGAACAGGATGTTGGACCGGAGTGGATATTTAACATGGAGCAGAAACACTGGACACTGGCTTTTGTCTTGGTCTTGCTGAAGACAAGATCGAGCCTTTTCTACGGTAGGACGGGTGGAGATGGGACATTGGGAGGTCAGGAGGGGAACCCCCTTAATTTTACATCATCAACAAAGCTCACCACGGAACCACATCCTCCCATGTCGGTCTCAGGAAATCCTTTTCCTCAACGTACCACTAGAATTCATTCTCCACCAGTAACAAAATGTGTGTATGTTACTAACTTATCCACCCCTACAAGCTGGTTAGTGAGCCCTTGCTATTAATGCAGAATGTCTCCTTTTAGTAGTTGATTCGCATGTCCCTTCATCTAGATTCATAGGGCAGCTGGTGACCGTTTCATAACAAGAAAGACTATGTTTACCACGGATTTCAGGCTGAGGAGCAGTATAGGGAGAGCTTTTGGCCGAGGGAGATTAAAAGCTTCTGAAAATATACCTAGTTAAGTTTTAATTGTATCATTTGTATGTTTCACCAATCCAGAGAATTGGGGGTGATAGGCACAATGAAAATTCTGTAGAATAAGCCAAATATTACAAAGGGGTGGCATTATCTCTCTAGTAAAAGGAGTCCCTCAGTCATTGTAACTCAGAGGGAATTCCCCAGCCAGGAATTAATTTTTTCTATGATAATAATTTGCCTACCATTAAGGCTTTGCTTTCCTCCAAGGAAATGCCTCAACCCATGAATCATAACTAACACATATTTGTATTTTGAAATGGTGGAATTTGGATAAAATCTAATCACCGCACCTCAAATGGAGCGAGAGGAAGTGGGGAATGTCTTCATGAGCCACAAAGTGATTTTCCAGGCTTAGGTTTGAACATGTGAACACCTGCTATACACTTTATGAGCTTAAGTAGCAGTAATATTATTCACTCCATGAAATCTTCCTTTAGAACTCTAGTGTTTTAGTTCTTGAACATGTGAAAACATAGGTAATTAAGCTCCCATAGATAAGATTGGCTTCTGATTGGGTCCAAGCTATATCTGTTTGCCTGGGACAATAGTTTCCCCTTTTTGTTGCTGTATTTTCTTCTGCAGCTTTCTGGTGGAACCGTAAAAGAGATTTTAAAAGTTAATTTAATAGGAAGTAAGGAGCATTCTCAGGTGGATAATTTGGTGGTTTAATGCTGCCCGTCTAGCTGTAGCATCAGTTAAATAATTTCCATTTGCTTCTATGGCAACAGTGATAGAATGTCCTGGAATTTTAATAATTGCCAATTGTTTCAATTTCTACATGATATCTAATAAATCTATAACCTATTTTCCATTCTTTGTGGGCCGTTCTGAGAAAATTAAGAGGGCTTACTGCTTTAACAATA